CGGGGTCCACGTCACCCATGGTGGACCAGGACTCGGCAAGCAGGCTCTCGCTCTGCCAGGGGCTGGCACTCAGAGGTGGCACGGCAGGGGTGGCGCCCGCGGACCCCCCGCCGGACTCGACTGGGGCGTTCCCCTCCAGAATGGCCACTGCAGGGACGCAACGGATTGAGGTCAGTAGTGGAAGATAAAATTAGAAACTATGGTCACGGATGGCAAATACGCATTTGAATCAGAAATAGTCAGGGAGGGTTCCCACGAGACCTGGAAAGCCTGGAAAGTGAGTCACCATTTTTCCAGTTATGGAAAATGAGAAAAATTGAATAGAAAAATCACTTATCTTGCAGTTTTCATCACAATGTTCCCAAACTAACTTTGTTCGACTAAAATAATGTTGCGCGCCATCACCATGAGTGTCAGTCTATGACCTTGCATGTTGGACAATGTATAGGACGCTTAAAAATCAATTTGTCACCAAAACTGTTCCACATGTACATGCGTGTATTTTTAATCCAAGGGAAATGCATGCTTGTCGCGGGGCTAATTGTAAGACTTTCCTTCAGTTCAAAAGTTTCCATGTGCGTGCCTCCGGCGTGATACACAAAGGTGACACCTCTTCACCCCGTGTGTCACGACTCCGCCGCGACTGTGGAAAGTATTTGCCAGCCGGCCGCCCGGAGCCCAGAATAGACCCGGCGATCGCCCGCTGTCTCTGTTTGCCGCGCGTTTGCCTTATGTTTACTTTGCATCGGAGCATAATAAATATCAATCTTGTAACGGAATTACCATCATTTATCTTAGCTCCCTCGCTCTTGAATCAGGCAAAAAAATTAGCTGCAAAGTTGATTGTTTATGCACTTTATTTACTCAACCGCAGATTAGTTTAGTGTTTTTGAACGAGGAGAAAAAAAATACTTTCTCATGTTGTGCTTGTTAAAAACAGAATTACGATTCCACAGCCAAATGTTTTGCTTCTTTGTGTGCACCTTCACCACCGGGGGGCATAATAGCCATGTCAGAAATCTGAGTTGCCCTCGTGAAGTATTTTGTTTCTTCATATTCTAAAATATATTTAGATTTTTTTTTTCTCAGCCACCCACCCCTATTTATCAGTCTGTCCCCTGTTAGCCCTGGGAGAGAGAAAAATCAGACACAGTCCCTGCGTGCAAATTTTGAGTTTTACTACATATGAAAACCCGATCTCATTCCCAAAATTACTTGTTGTTGTACTTCTTTTGAAAACAGGATTGAGTGACTCCACGTTGTGGTCGTCAATCGCGCCCCAATTTAGTCATTGAAGTTAGCCACGCACGCACACATGTTAATCCCTGCACACGCACACGTTGTGATCCGCCTTGGCTTTAATTGGATTCCCATTGGTCCCATCCTGGGCAGAAAGAGACATGATTCACAAGTACAAACTGCTCAGTTCATACAACACCCACAAAGTAGCTGACACGTTCATTCGAGTGCAAGGTTACCGTGTGCCCTTCACTGCACTGAAATGACCCATAGTGACCTTTCTTACCACTTGCACAGCACACGTGTTCATGAACGGAAAGCTAACAAGTGTATTCTTGGCACAAGGGAGACTTTTACATTGAAATTGAAATGACTTGCCGAAACATTTCTATCCACACAAGAAAACACTTGAGCATACCTGGTTGCCGTTGGTGAGGTGCTAGACGACAAAGGGCGTTTGGAGAACAAAGTGCCGTGTGAATTAAGACACAAAGTCACACAAGGCGAGCAGCAGGCAGGCAGACATGCACGCGAGGTATCTGCTACACAAATAACACAATGTTCAAGCTCTCTCCCTCTCTCATCCACCCTCCCCTCTAAATCCATGACATAACACTTGGCTGTGGATCTGCCATGGGTGACTCCAGGTGGGGGGGGAAAAAAGTTGGGAGTTCTTAATCAGACTTTAACCTAAGTGTAAACAATAACAATTGTGAGTTAATACATCACATATGATCGGAATCCGTAGTTACTGTGTACTTTTAATTTCAAAACCCATTGAGAAGTATGATTAAAAATACTACGATTCATATTTGAATTTAAATTGTGTAGTTTAGATGGTGTTTGACTCAAGCACATTGCGAATGTACTATTAAAGTACTGATGTAATATTGTTTATATTTTTTCTTTTGTGTATGTTTAATTTCACACAAATAACCACTTTCTATTCATTTTTTAATTATTTAGATTTGGTCACGCATAGAAACGTCACTCTCTTTCTGCGTCACCCTCGCGCCTGATTGGCCACAAAGCAGGAAGTCAACATCACATGACCTCGACGGTCAGCTGATCGTTAATTTGTACCGAGGACGTTTCTTTCGAGTCACGACCGCCTGGAATTAGATCATTCGTCGTCTGCATCATTTTCGGGTGAATTAAAAAAAATTGTTGTTGATGTCGGTCGATTATTAGAGTTGTGTTGGAATGTTACGTTTCAATTAGCTTTTTTTTTTACGTTTGTGTGTGCGTTGAATGGCAGGCCCGAGCTAGCTAGCAAGCAGCAGCAGCAGTTGCGACCATGGCGCTCAGCGATGCCGACGTTCAGAAGCAGGTAACCAAGACGTGTTTTTTTTATTCTATTTTTGAAAACAACTACAGTAAAACAAATATGTCGTATTGCTCGTTTTGCTTGGTTCACGATGCCATTTCGTTGGGTGGACACCGCTAGCATCCTCCTCGTTGACATTGAGCCACTCCAGCAGGTTAATGCTGAAATAGGATTTTTTTTTTTTTTTTGCCTGATTCGGGTGTTACCGCGAAACGTGGAATGTTGGGGTCATCCTGACCAGTGACCACATGACAATCACATGATAGAGGCTGTATGAGGAACTGCTGTGTAGAACCGGTATAAGAGGAAATAAAAACGCCACACACTGACAGCTGTTCATGGTTCCAGTCATGATTAGTGACTGAAATAAATCCTAACATTCTTCACCGTTGTGAGAAAAGCAGCCACTGAACAGCATCGTGTCACTAAGCATCCCAGTTATGAGTTGAAACACTTCATTGAAAAAAAAATGCTGAGGCTTCCTTCCTTCATGTCAACAGATCAAGCACATGATGGCCTTCATCGAGCAGGAGGCCAACGAGAAGGCGGAGGAGATTGATGCTAAGGTACCATGGCTCAGTCCATTTTGGCTTGCTTCAATGCATTTGTGATATTTTGAAATGCAACATGGAGGGAAGAGTAAATGTCGACAAATGGTTGTCAATAGGAGCCATCAAGTGTCCAAGACAAAAACAAACATGTTCACTGATGCAGTAATGTTTGATCATCCCACAACATATAAATATAGTATCTTCACAAATGTGAAAGACTTTAGCGAATTGCATGAGTGCATTTGTGGCTACTGTAATGAGGAGACACCAAGTTTTGAAAGCGATGAATAGTAGCAAACTAACAAACTTTTTGTTTCAGAAAACGAGATGTGTACTTTTTTTTTCTTGTACTTGCGGCTCCCCCTGCAGGCCGAAGAGGAGTTCAACATCGAGAAGGGCCGCCTGGTGCAAACGCAGCGTCTGAAGATCATGGAGTACTACGAGAAGAAGGAGAAGCAGATCGAGCAGCAGAAGAAAATGTGAGCGGCGCTCGCACCGTACGGGTCCCACTTTGCCCGTGATTGCGTTTCCTTGTTGCGTGCGGCACAGTGGCTTCCTTTGGGACCTGTTGGCTCTCTGCGCCCTCTGCGTGCACAACGGCCACTTGAGGCGCTAAAGTGTGTTTGTGTGTGTGTGTGTGTGTGTGTGTGTGTGTGTGTGTGTGTGTGTGTGTGTGTGTGTGTGTGTGTGTGTGTGTGTCCGATTCACAGCCAAATGTCCAACCTGATGAACCAGGCCCGCCTCAAGGTCCTCAAGGCCCGCGACGACATGATCTCTGTAAGTCATGCAAACGTCAATGACACTGAATTGGGTTTTCATTGTGTAACGTGTGTGTGTGTGTGTGTGTGTGTGTGTGTGTGTGTGTGTGTGTGTGTGTGTGGTGGGGTCTCTTCCTTTCAGGACATGCTCAATGAGGCCCGTCAGCAGCTCGCCAATGTGGCGCGAGACCCTGCCAGGTACTCGGCGCTGATTGACGGCTTGATCCTTCAGGTTAGGGAGCGCTCTTAAAATCCTAAATGGCACGATTGCCACGAACAATAATACACACACACTGCATTAAAGTGTAATGATTTCGATTGTATTATCTGGAATAGGTGGATAAAAAATGTATTTCGCATTTTTATGCACATTAAAGTACAAATGAGGTACAGGTATTATTTAGTCCACTTGGGGTCCCCACCCTCCGTTGCACTGGAATATCAGCGAATCCAACGCCAGCCCCTGATGTCACTCACTCGGCCACGCCCCTTAAGGACACACATCCAACATACATCAATCAGTCAATCAAACTTTATTTAGGTACAGAAATGACTCTTTGTAAAACCAGTTCCTTTCTTCAGGGTTTATATCAGCTGCTGGAGCCCAAAGTGACCATTCGATGTCGTAAGCAAGACGTCCAATTAGTGCAAGTGAGTAGTCATTGTCATCGTTCATTCCCGGAGCTCCGCTTGACGCCGTCGCGCCTCTCGTCTCCTCGCAGGCTTCCATCCAGAGGAACTTGCCCATCTACAAGGCTGCCGTGAAGAACAACCTGGAGGTCCGCATCGACCGCGACAACTTCCTCGATCCGGACATGTGAGTGTCGCCGAGTTGCTTTTCGGGGCTTTCGACACTAAAAGCAAATAACCAAGTTGGTGCTTTGACAGCTCCGGAGGCATTGAACTCTACAACGGAGACGGCAAGATCAAAGTGGCCAACACGCTGGAGAGCCGACTGGACCTCTTGGCTCAGCAGGTAACAACAAATCGCTTCATGCTTGCAAACAAATGCTGTCAGCGCTTACATTTATTAAAGGAGAAAATATCTCTATCGAGTCAAGAATGAAAATCATGGGCCGTATGTGTCATAAAATCCATTTATATTATAAAATAACCTTCAAATCTCACTTAGGATGTCTAATATTCTGCCACTGAAAAATTTTATTAGTTTTGATTTGAAAGGATACACGTCCAATTTCTTGTTTTGGATACAACTATGGAAAAGGATGGTTTGTTTTGATAACATTTAAAAATGCACATTTGTATTTTATGAAAAGTTTTTGTTTTCTGTTTAAAAAAAAAAAAAAGTTCATTTTTTTTTCTTGCAAAAGATCAAAAGCTGTGTTGCTGTTTTGTGTGTCGCAATGTCCCCAGATGATGCCCAACATCCGAGTGGCCCTCTTCGGCGCCAACCCCAACCGCAAGTTCATGGACTGAGAAGCCTCGCTCCCGTGTTTCTGGATTCTTTTCAATTTCTTTTGTTTTGGGTCACATTCCAAAAGCGGGTGCTTTGTCACCATCATTATTATTATTTTTATGTGCGTGTGTATGATGTGTTGTTGATGTGTTCCTTTGTACATGAAGGAAAGCTCCCGCCATGCCATGACACATTACATGTCAGCAGGGGACGGGGTTACTTGCCGGATTCTGACCGTCATCAAGTAAGTTAGAATGTTTAATAGGTTAATTTATTGTTCCGCCAGAGGGGGATCCTCTGTCTGTATATGAGCGAGCCCATAGAAATTGTGTGTGTCATGTGTTGTAAATGTACAATATCATAATAAAATATGACTGGTGATGGCTACACCTTCTGCTTGTCTTTGCAGCGCGCTCGCACGAGGGCATGCACTCAACCGTCTTTTGTCTTTCAAAAAAAATCCCATTGGGAAAAAAAAATGTTTTGCCTGAGCACTTGCTCATGTTGCCTTTAGATAGTTCACGTCTTCAACTTGTGAGCACAACTGTAAGTTATGCCAATTTTGTGTTAAATGAATTTTCTGTTTTTCTTTAAAAGGCAAAAATGAATTTATATGCAAAATAATGTTCTTTTTTTTTTTCGGTGAAACAGCTGAGCCTCCGGAAGCTTCTAATAACTGTAGTTACTCAGCGTGCCAGAACCTTCCTGACTTTTGTTGTCACATGAGGCAAATCATCTTCGGCCAGGGTCACACTGCAGGGACGTGTTTATTGCACTTGTTCCCTATTTCTGATTAAACTTGAATCTGCATATTTTGACTCTCAGTTCCTCTACACAGCCCCCTGCCCTGCCACATGCACAACGAAGCACATAAGCTTCTCCATTTGTCGCTCTCGCTGTCTCTCTCCAGTGTATGTGTGTGTGCGCGCGCGCATGCGCAGGTATGTATATTTGTGTGTGTGTGTGTGTGTGTGTGTGTGTGTGTGTGTGTGTGTGTGTGTGTGTGTGTGTGTGTGTGTGTGTGTGTCATGTGGTATTGATCATTTTCCAACAGCGTTTATAAACAATCCCTCTTTTGTCGATTGATGTGTTGCTGCTTTGTGTGTCACAATGTCCCCAGATGATGCCAAACATCTGAGTGGCCCTCTTCGGCGCCAACCCCAACCGCAAGTTCGTGGACTGAGAAGTCTCACTCCCTCGCGCCATCATTAGTAATATTACGTGTGTGTGTGTGTGTATGCATGTGTGCATGTGTGTGTGTTGTTGGTGGTGTACGGGCTACACTTTATGCTTGTCCTGGTGTGCGCGCGCGCGCGCACGGGGGCATGCACTCATCCGGCCACGCTGTCCATTCATGCCAGGCTTGTTAGTTAATCACATGCTATTTGTCAGACAAAAATGCGTCAATAATTCTGTTGCGCCCAGTGTTGTGCTGACTTGTTTGGCAGGGACGGAACAAGCGCAGTCTTGCAGGAAGACGGCGGAGTGAGCACACCGCTTCTTGTAAGTACTTGATAAAAGTTGTATTTTGGTTTTTGCCTTTTGCCTTGCTTTTTGGCGCTGTGATGTCATCGATGGGGAATGTCAGGCGTTTTCGACGAGTTCCTCGTTTTGTTGGCTCAAACGATGCGCTTAATCCACATGGAAACCGTTGCCAGAAGTGTTTGTATCCAATAAAACAGGCTGTGAATAATGCGGTTGTGCTCCGGAGTTTACTTACCGGTGCCTGGCTGAAAATGTGAAATACTGGAATTTTTTCCTTCCTGAACAATAGGACTGAAATGCATTCGCGTTGTCTTTTGTGTGAAGCTGACGTCTAATGTGTTAACACGCGTTTAATACAACAATTAGGTTGTCCTGGCAACTACATCTAAATATCAACTTGCTCAGTGAGTGCTGTTGCAAATTACAACCCCAATAAATTGTCCTGTCCTCTGACTCTTCTGTCTAGTAGTGAACAGCGCCCTCCAGTGGTATTTAAGGGCATGGCCGCCTCCCTCCCTCTGGCGGTGACCCTCCTGTGGCTGTCTGCGGCGGTGATGGGAATGCCCAACCCGAGTCAACGGGACCTGCTGATGCGCCTGGAGGTGTCCAAGCAGATGGGCGGCGACGCGGCGCTCACGCCGGCCGAGCTGCGATTGGACGGCAAGCTTCAGCGGCTGAAGGAGCGCGAGATGGCGGGCGAGGCCTTTCCGCCCGCCCTCCCCT